ACTTCCCCCCCCACCTCGGCAAAGCCGCTGCTTCTCCTCCGCTAAAGCCCCCCCTGCAGAGCAGGGCCCGGGGCTGCCGGCACATACAGTGACCCCGACCCCAACAGGCAGCCAGGGACGGACACCTGCAGCCACAGACCCCCAGCAAGCCCCGCCAGAGCCCCCCGGCTCCCGGCACCGCGCACCATCAATCACCGCCGCGGACACGCGTGGGCCGCCCTGAGCCCCGTCCAGCGAGGCTCCTGGAGGGGACCGAGCCCGGCGGCAGCGCTCCGGGCCGGGGCAATTCGGGGAGACAAAGCCGGCGCTCGTCCCGCACGCTCACCTGGGTGTCGATCATCATCGTGCCCCGCTCATAGCCCCAGCGCCGCGCCGAGAGCCGCTGGCCCCGCTGCGGGTGCCGGGGCCGCACTCATGGGGCGATGCTCCGAGCCGGCCATGGGCCCCCCCGAGCCGGCAGCGCCGAGCGCCCAGCGCGGCCGGGACCAGCGCGGCCGGGAGAGCCGGGAGCGGGGCGGGCTCGGGGCGGGCACCGCTACCGGCAGGGAGGGGACAGCTCCCGGCTCCGCCCGGCCCCGTTCCCGAGAGGGAACTGCAGCGGGGGCACCTCTCTGCTGGGCACCGCTCCAGGGGTACCCGGGACACCCCTTGTCTTTTTGGGGTGTGCTTTCCCCCAGGAGTAGGACCCGTGGGAAGGCACCTTGCGGATCCTCCGGGGAGCGGGCGGTGTGAGTGGGAGCGGGGGGCGGCGCTGAGTGTGGGTACAAACAGGAGAAAAGCTTGGGGCCGTGGCTGAGAGAGACCCCCGGGACACCCCGGGCTGTCCCGCCTCCATGAGGAGAGTCTGGGGCAGGGAGCCAGGGCACGACACGGAGCCCCGGCCACTCATCCCCGCTCAGCCCGGACCGAGACGGGGCTGAGCGCGTCCCCCGGGCAGCGCTCCGGCCGCCCGGGCTGAGCGCTGGAGCGGGAGCCGGGGAGCCAGCGGGGTTGCCCTGGAAACAGAGCGGCTCCGCTCCCCGTCATTTGTAATCATGAGGCCGATGACATGAGCCATCACAGCCGTGGCAGGAGAAGGAGCCGGCTGAAGGCTGCGTCAGTCCATGGCCGAGTGCTCCCAGCCGCCGCAGTGCCGGTCCTGGGCACCGACACCCCGCGGCGGCCCCAGCAGCCACCCTCCTTGTCTCCGGGGTCACAGCGGGAATGAGCGACGAGGCACAGCCCATGGCACCTGCCCGTGTCCCGCTCCTCCGTGGCTCCGGCTCAGCTGAACCAGCAGCTCTGGCTGGCGAGCGCAGCCAGGAAAGGAAAAGGTGCTGCCCGGGCTCTGGCTCTGGCACTAGATGCTGCTACAGAGCAACATAATTCTAATTATAGTAACAGTGTCAGTGCTCAACAGTGAGAAAAACACGTACTGCAAAAGGTCTAGAACTATGTAATTTGCTGCTGGCAAAACTCACTAAAAACCACACCAGAATGAAGTGCTTTTAAAATGTAATTTGTACTCATCTGGCTTGGTTTAAATTGGCTAAAGGTTCATCAGGGGAGTGATGACGTGGGCATACAAGCAGTAGAGATTTGTGGTTAAAACTGCCTTTCTACTCCTAAGGCTTTACATTGGTTTTACATGAAACGGCGACATTTGGTGGATCTATGTTTAACCTAAATATAGCATGGGAAAAGTCACATCAATACAGCAACACTTGTGGAGAAAGGAGAGAGTCTGGTGGGCAGGCAGACATTCAAATGTCACCCTTCAGATGTGTTTTTCTAGCGATGCTTCCTTAAACCGTTTGATTGTGTGGAGCAGAGCTCCAGGGTTGGGGATTTACCATGAGTAAAGTACAACCCAATCCACTCCTGTAACTCCTTCTCCAGTTCCTGCTGTCCCCAGACCTGTTGTCACTGTCACTCCACTGTCACTCCACCTGGACAGCAGCTGTTGCTCTGTGTGTGTCACCCCTGGGGTCCCATGGGGACTTGCTGGGGCAGGAGGTGGGATTCAAGTGAGAAAATAATAAACTTACTGCTAGGAGCTGCCCTTTGAGTTCAGAGCAAATCCCCACTGAGTGGCCCAGACTGGGCCCTGTGCAAACACAGAACAAGAGACAGAGGCAGTCTGTCCCTTCAAAAGCCGCCCAGGTGAGACAAAGGGCAGGGGAGTGAGCCCAGCAGCTCTGGCAGGGAGCTCCCAGCCTTCCAGCTCCTTTCCACCACCATGCTGCTTCAGCTGCATGAAGCCAGCCAGAGGCACGTGGCTTTTCCACAAGCTGGTTTTGTGCAGGGGATGTGTAACTGGTGTTCCTACCCCTCCTCATCCCCCTCTGCTCAAAGATGACCTTATTTGTGCCCCACTGCCAGAGATCTCACCCACAGAAAATTTGGCTAAGCCAATCCTGTTGTAATTGGTGCTGTGTGGTACAAAATGAGATTTCTGGTCAAAACTGTCAGGGAACATCACCTAAGGGAGAGTTATGGGAAATCCAGAGAGGGGTGGAAAAGAATCCTAACCTGGCTAAGTGGAAATGATCCTTGTCCTATCAGTGGGGAGAATGAAATGATCGAAGTCTGGCTCCACCTCAAAGCATATTCAGTACTGGAAGTTTCTGTTCTACACCACACAGAAATTTGCCCTTTGGGGGTGGATGCGGTGGGCAAAACAGCAGCAGGGAGAAGGAAAGAAACAGCCTCTGTCAGATGGGTGCTTAAATTAGAGACAGTGAATGATGAGTGTGTTCCAGCCAAGCAGAAAGGGATGGAAGGAAAAAGGGGCCCTTGGGAAGGCAAGAAGCTGCTGATTTGGGGGTGGGTTAAGTGCTTGAGTGGGAAATACCTTGAGAATACAATCACATCCCCAGGCAGTGGGGTTTATTTATTTACATGTGGTGATTCAGTTTTTGTGCAGTTCCCTGCATTTCTAAGTCCAAATTCCTTTGGCACTAGAACACGTAAGACAATATTGTCCCCTGTGGCCAGTGGAGGAAGGCAAGAGCGACACTGTGCTGCCTTCCTTACAGCGTGCCTCAGTTTCCCCACTGTGCACTGGGTGTGGGTGGGGAATGCACATCACAAAGCAGGTCCTGGTGAAGCTCCCACAGTGCACACAAGCCTCAGGCTACACAATCCAAACTGGGAGCAGGAAAGCTCTCTGCTGCTTCTGCTGCTGGGGGAAGGAGATTAATCAGCAAGAGATGACAACAGAAGTCCAGCCGTTCATTAATTAGAAGAGGGCACTGAGCTGATTCAGGGAGCATCTCCCACACAGCACTGGAGGGTTTTTTTCTGCAGACATTTTCCTGCTCCCTGGAGGCATTGGGAGTTTGTAGGTACTGCTTCAAACTGCAACCCTGTGGAGTAGAACTGTGTCACACAAGAAGTCATTCCCCCGGGGAGAAGCTCTGGGACTGCCAGGAAAATAAACATGTTTGGCACAGCACAAATCAGGCCATTATGGTGTCAATCAGAGGGCTAAGGATTCAGCCAAAAGGCAGCTTGGATGCAGAGCTCAGACCAAGCCCTTCACAATTTTTTCAAAACAGGCACCCCAGAAACCCAGACCACCCTCTATCACCCATCATCTGTGCTGCAGAACTTCCTCTCACAAAGGATTTATGAGTATCTGCACAGGAATTCAATAATTAATGTGGCAGAATGAAGCCCTGTGGCTGCAAACCCAGAGCAATTTCCAACAGAATTAAGGCATAAGGGGAATTGGCCATTGGCACAGCTGATCTATGGATTTGTGGCTGCTACGGAACTTAATGTTTTTCTTGGAATCTGAATACTTTTCTACGAGGTCTAGCCCAGCTCAGCCACATACTGACACCATGAGATAAAATTATCTGGCTCATCCTGTGCAGGGCAGACTGGGCAGTTCCTTTTGGCTGGTAAAGAATCCTTACACATAGATATATAATTAGCATAATAAGAACCCAGTTTCAGCATGGCCTTGAGGCACTAACCCTTTAACAAATAAGAAACATATAGTATTAATCCTGGACTGGTTGGAAATGTATCTTTCTGGAAATATTTGGATAAGTATTTTTCCTCACCATTTTAGCTCAGATGAGGTGCCTGGTTACCCAACATACATGGCAGGGGTTTCAGTTGTGGTTTAGTTAGGTAAAAGGGCATCTTCCTCCTGCACATCACTAAGAACAATATGGAGAAAATGAAATAAAGACCCTTTGCTGGATTAAGCACAAATCAGCCAAACCAGCTGCCACTGGGGCTTTGGAGCTGGAGGTATTTCAGGTACCTTATCTATATAATGAGTCTGTAAAAGCTTTTCTAATTAGTCTTCTGGAAGATGAAATGCCTACAATGACAGTGGCAAGTGCCATTTCCAGCCAGCTCACAGGACTGAAATGGCTCGTTAAGTCAGCAGCAATCAGTTGTGGGGCCCTAAAGCTTTGAATACTTGATTCCCTGCCATACAGCAATTTTCACATGTGAGGAGAAGCAGGAACAGTCAGGCACCTCTTCCCTATTTTCCCTCTCTCTGCCAAATAAGCTTTTTTTTCCCCTTTTTTTCCCCTAAGCTGTTCCCTTAGAAACAGCCCGTTCACCCTTTCACCCTGCTCCTTCTCTCCCTGCTGGACGCTGCCATTCCCAGCATCTCCCGTGGCCTCTCTCCTGCTCCGAGTGAACAGGAATTTTCATGTTCAGCCCTTTGGTAGCAGAGGGAGCTGATGCTGATGGCAGCTCCCTGTGACAAGGGAGGTGGCTGTGCTGTAACCTCAGCTGCCAGCCGTGGCTGCTCCCTTGTGCTCACCCCAGGGAGCTGTCAGCCTCTAAATGCCTGCTTCAGCTCCTCAGCACATCCAAGGAGAGAAAATGTTAACCCCAGCCTACTTCCAACTTCACGCCGAACTCCCAGCTTCGGCAGAGCATTTCATTATGGAATGAAATCATCCTGTTTGCTGGAAAGGATCATCCTGTCAGCTCCAGCAGCTTCTCGCCAATTTATTTCACAGAGCTTAGAAAAATTGGAAAGGGCTGAAGCAGTGGAGAGGAACATGAACATCTCAAAAACAGATTTTCTCTATTGGAAAAGATTACATGATCCACAGAGACATGTGACCCAGGGAAAAGGTTCAGAGCACATCTGTGATTGAAATAAACCCGAAGAAGTTCAGTCTGCTCTGAGCTGTGCCAGTTCTGTCTCAACTTGGGTCTCCAAAGCAAAGACTGGAATTTGGGAGATAACTGCTAGATGAGTTCACAATGTTTGTCCTGTCAGACCAGGGCTCTTACTGGCAATGCCTGGCACCAGCCCTCTGCTGAGAAGGTCCAAGAAATCCTGCTGCACACCACTCAGGGATAACGTGCTCTGAGTGCAAGTTTCTTCCTGATTGTGACAAAAGGTGTTAGTTTAAATCATAATGCAGGAAAAATTATCACCCTGAAATGTTCTTTTTTTAAGTGAAGAGGTATTTACCAAAATTCAAGGTCTTCTCCACAAGAATGTCAAATGCCATTTCGATCTTGTTAAGTTTCTGCCAGGCCTCTCGAAAACAGTCATGGGAAGGCAACTACATCCATGCATTGGATCACTGGCCTTTTGGATGCTTTTCTGTGTGCTACAGCCTCAGGCAGAGTTTTGTCTTTTGGGTTTTTTTTCTTCTTTACAAAGAGTGGGAATCCAGAAACCTTTTCAGTCTCACCTGCATTTTGATTGCTGCTTCTGGAATGCATTGAGACTCTGGTCTCCAGAGGAACTATCCACACCTTCCCTTCCCAGTTTGCTCCTACCAGGAACCAAAAAATTCACGGTGGGGCTCATTCTGCAGAAACTGATTTTGGTGGGTTTTGGTTTGTTGCAGGGATCAGATGGTCAATTTCGGATCTCTTTGTAGTTCTTATCCACTGTGGAAAAACGTATGAGGCGGATTTCGGGGGGCTTTGGCTTCCTGTCATCCCATATATACTCTGGAGAAAGCAGCTTGGAGGGTTTGTGGGTCAGGAAGTGCCTGTTGAGGTGACTCTCCTCCTGCCAGGCTGCCATGACCCCGTTGGCTTTGTCTGCCAGGATGGTCATGTGGCAGGTCTTGGTGAACTCGTAGACGTTCTTGACCAAGCCTCCAAACACGGCTCCTCCGTAGTAGAAATCCCCTTCTCCCTTGGGGATGAAGGCTGCTGAGGAGCTCCTCCTCTCATAAGGGAACTGCTCTCGTGGGACATGGAAGTAGCCAGGGTGGATGGCGGCCACCATGTCCCCCAGGGTCTCAGGGCCCCAGGGGTTGTGGAACACCATGTCCACGTCCAGGCAGAAGAGGTACTGCACCTCCCGATGGCTCACCGCGGCCACGTGCCGGTTGATGGTCTCCATCCTGCGCGTGGAGATCTCCTGCCAGCTGGAGTATTTGTGGACAGGGACGGTGAGCAGCCTGCGCCCTGGCCGCAGCTGCGCTCGGGGGATGCTCTCAGGGCTGTCTGTGAAGATGTAATAGTTGACCCGGTAGCCACGCATGAAGTGCTGCTCTGCCGACTCCAGGAAGCGCCGCACGAACCTCGTGTACCTGCGCAGACACAGCCCGTGGAGAGCCCAGCGGGGACAAGGATGGCCTTTCTGTGCAGAGGGACTTTCTGCAAGGGTGTGGAGTGATAGAGCAAAGGGGAATGGCCTTCAGCTGAGGGAGGGCAGGGTTAGATCAGGGGAAGGAATTCTTCCCTATGAGGATGGGGCACAGGTTGCCCAGAGGAGCTGTGGAAGTGCCCAAGTACAAGGTGATGCAACCTGGTGTGGTGGAAGGTGTCCCTGCCCATGGAGATTAATTTTAAGGTCCCTTCCAACCCAAACCATCTGGGATTATGAAGGGGATTATGAAGGGCTCGTTAGAGAATGCAAGACAAGGAGTGAGGAGAGTTCAGTGATTATGACTACAGGAATCCACACTCTATACATGCAACACGTGTAGTGGAGGATGAGGAATAAGTGGATTATCCCCATTTTGACCAGCTCTAATTCCCAAGATGCCTTATTCTTAAAAAATACTGCCCACACCTCAGTTATCTCCAGTGTTGTTATCCCATGCACTTGTGTGATTACAGACACACCAGAGGGACACAAACCCCCCTATAAATCAGGACAAATTTCAGGAAAAGGAAAGCCAAAGCCATCTTTCCACAGAGGAAGGGCATCACCCCAAGAACTGTGCCCACTGAGTGCTTCCCTTACTTTCCAACAGCAAAGGCTGTCACCCCTATGGTGAGGTTCAGGGGTCTATAGGCACTGTCCAGGATCTCAGGATTGAAGGTCCCTTCCCAGACGATGGGGGCCAGCCATGGTGTGACTGTCAGCACATCCTGGCGCCTGAAGGGGGAAAAAACCAGAAATGTTAATTAAATGTAACTGTTCCTGCTGGTTTTGAGGCTAGTAAATGGAAAAGAAGCATGAATAAAGGCAGCTAGAAGAGTGTGTGAATCAGCATTAATTCACCATGGAGGGTATTAGCTCAGATATTTTCTCCCTGCACTCTTATTTAAGGTTACAGAGCATGGACATTTCAATTCCTGGGCTGAAATTAAGCACTTTAATACATCAGTAAAAACCTGAGGATCTGCTGAAATCTCATTTAAGGACCTTTCTGCTGAGGAGAGTTTAATGACCACTGAACTCTCAGAATGGGAAGCTGTGCCTACTTGCTATCAGCCTGATGCAGATTGCTACATGCAGATTAAAACACAAGTAATAATAATAATATGAAAATTACTATAAAAATATACCCCATTGCTGTGTTATTAAAACACAGCCTGCAGCATGACAGCTTACTTTTCCAGTGTTTATATATAGCTCCAACACAATCAGTTATAATTCAAAATGCTGTATGTGAGCCAGCATTAAAATATCTAACAAAGTCAGAAAAATCCTTAATTTCTTGTGAGAGAAGTGGAAATACTGAATATAAATGCAGCAGAGTCTGATTCTGCCCTATTACAGCTCTGCAGTGCTGTTTCAATTTGTTTGCTTTGTTTTCACTGTTTCATTCTTACCTTTTTGATTTTAAAAGGAGATGCCATTAATGGTGGAATTCACCCCTGCCTGCTCACATTTGCTCCAGACCAGGAGCTGGAGCCCTCTGCTAATGAAATTTGTCACACACAGCACGTGGCCACACCTGGGGGCTGCCAGGCTCCCACCTGACACAGTTCCAAGGCAAAACAGCACCAGAACCAAACTGGGGGAGCTGTGGGGAGCAGCCTGGTGCTTCAGGCAGCAGATCCAATCAGATTCTCTAGCCCAGATCTAATATTTTCAGTCTGAGAGGATACAAGAATAGCAGTTTGACTCCTTCCTACAGCAATGCATGTGATTGAAAGATTATACAGGAAGAAGAATTTGTGTTGGGAAAAACGTACTAACGGATCTGTTCTGTTTCTGGGTTGATTAGCCTTTTGGTTTTTTTTTGGAAAGGGAAGGAAACATGCATGTTCACTTCTCTAAGCTTTTTAAATTTCATCTTAAAGGGCTGCCCTGGGTTTCCCAATGAGTCATGGTCATCCTCTCCATGTCAGTGAACTCCCTCCAGAAGACACAGAGCAGGAAAAGCTTCAAGATTCTCCCCTTGTTTAGCCCAGTGTGCACCAGCTGATTTAGCACAGAAATTTATTCCAATATGGAAGAAATATTCAGGCTGAGCACATCCTGAATATGTGAGGGAAATAATATTCAAATATATATGTGTGTGTGTTCCAACAGAGTGTGTTTGTTAACATGCAAAAGAACGTGGTTGTGGGAGGTGAACTGCTCCAGATAAAGTCACAGGAGCAGGGCCAAAGGAGGCTGTAACAACCTGGGCTGCACAGAGAGTTTGTCCAAGCCACTTCTTACTGCTGCTGTCCCAAATCTTCCCTTAAAGCCCCTGCTCTGGCTGTGTTTGAGGTTTGTCTGTGTTTGGTGAAACCACTGCTGAAGGTCACACCTGCTTTATGTTGCCCTGAAATGGGTTCAAAGCTCCCACAGCTGGTCCCAGAGCACAGCTCCAGAAGGTATTTCCCACTTACAGATATTACACATCTCCCATCTCAAAAAGAGCCCCTGGCCACAACAGTGTGTTTGTGCTAATGCAATAATTGGGAATTAACAGTAAGTGTGTTAATAAGTGTACAGTAACCATACCCAACCTCAGAGCAGCACAGGCAGCTGCTGACACACCCCTGTGCTTGGATTCTCAGGGAACAACGTCCTGCTCAATGTGCCCCAGGACTCTGGAACTGTGAGTGCTACAAAGTGCCCAAACCAAACTCAGCAAACAAAGTTCAAAGAAACTTACTTTGGCGCCAGCACTCTTGGCTGCTGATAAAATAATCTGTAAAAGGGAAGAAATATCCATTGAATAATACATGAATATGCCAGGAAGAGAGGAGCAGCAGTTTAAAGGTCAGGAGATAAAAAGCCAGTACTTACTGGGGGAAAAGCTGGATTAGCTTCTCTTCTGTATACTGGAGTTTCATGGAGCTGCATGATGGGGTGGGAAAAGAAATGGATTGTTAGGCTTTTCTTAAAATATCAACCAAGTTTGGCTTCAGGACCTGCTGCTGTCCTGAGAGCTGTCCAAACCCAGCTCCAGCTGCTGTGGACACACCCTGCTTGGCCCAGGGTTAGGCATCACCTGTAAACACCTCCAGGGCTGCCTGGCAAGGGACAGCTTTGGGACACAACATAACAGGGACAGAGAGATTCTGGCAGCAATCCCAGTCTGTGGGGATATCAGTGTGCAGGGGTCAAAATCCACGTGGGACTGTCAGGTCCCATACGTACATGGTCATGTATGTGCTCCATGCCCTGCAAAGCTGCTCCTGGTCACCTGGAGGGCTGAACTACCTGAAATAACCACATTTCCAACAGCATTCAGAGAAATAAGCACCTCAAAAGACACAATGGTTTGGAATGGGCTGGAGCAATCAGAAATACCTCCATGAAACATCATTTTTTTCTATTTGTACAGAAATATCTATTTGGTTAGTAGGTCATGGGGAAAGCCATTGTCATGCCCTAGCTGTGGTGCAGTGTGGCAGTGAGGAGGTCACTGGGGCCACGTCCCTGGCCCCTGCACAGTGTTAAATTCTCCTCTGTGCAGCTCTGGGGGAGCTCTTGGCAGCCAGGCTAGCTCAGGTACATCAGTTTGCAGCATGCAAGGAAGCTCATTTGTTCAGGTCCAGAGCTCAAGCGCTGCCATGGCACAGAACATTCATGACCACAGATCCCAGAGGGAAGAACAGGAGCATGATGAGAACTGGGGGTTATTCCTGACTGTGCCAGAACTCCTCATGTGCCTGTTCACATCACCTCTCTGGTTTAGGTGTCTCTGTCTGGTGAGTGGATCCCTAAAGCACGGCTGTGCATGTGCAGGTGTGTGATTTCACCCTGATAAGGAAGCTGTGTTAACCTTTTAGTCCTGGTCTCTGTGACCCACAACAAAGCCTCCCTCACCCATGCAGACCCAGAGGTGTCACACAGGGCAGGCAGGCCCAAACAGCAGTTTTAGCTTTTTGTTTGAAGAGAGTGACTAATTACAGCTTCATAAATAAAGAACAAGTGACTTGTTAATCACTGTTTGTGCTGTCAGTGAAGAGCAGGACTGAAACAGTGATCTGTGTTACTCATTAGACACAAAACAAAATACTTACAAGATTTCAGGGCAAGGAAGGTAGTAGGGCAGGTAGTGCACTTTTCTAGTCCCAGCTAGAGCCCTGTGAAATATTGAGCAAAGAAATATTTTAAGATAGGAAATGTTGAAGGAAACATTCCTAGGATTTTCCAAGATCACCTAAGGACCTGGCAAAGATTCTGAGAGGTAACTCTGGCTAACTCCATGTCTACTTTATTAATTACTGTAGGATCTGCAGTGTTCACATTTTAACACAATGTTCTGATGCTGAGGCAAAATGCAGCTACCCACAAGGTGAAAGTACAGCAAGTTGCAATATCATAAATATGAGATAATTCATAATAATTTAATAATTAATACGTTAATACTTAATAGAAATGCCTTCCCTCACATTCCCTTCCAACGATGTTTCGATGTTTGAGTTTGCTCCAGAGAATCTCTAAGCCATACTCAGTGGTCAGAATATTCAGTTACAAAATCCACAGAGTTTGAAAGATGTCTGACAGCTACAGAGCTGTCCCTGGTGACACTGGAGTGAGTTTGGACTGTTTGAAGACACAAATAATCACCTCAGTTAAATGAGCTAAAATGTAACTGGAATATTCTCTACTTAAGCATTTGTTTGTGAGTCACTACAGTGTCAGCAGCTTGATTTGGACTCAGTTGCTCTTTCTTCCTCTTTCCCCTAGGGCTTTCTCCCTCTACCAGTTCTCCATTATCTATTACACTTATTGCTGTTCTTCCAGCTCAAACAGGGGCTTCCCACAAAATGCACAGCCTTTGCTTTTTAGTTCTGTGAGTTTTGCCACAGGATCTACACAGGATGTTTTAGGTATGACCAAGATGGCCAGCAAATTCTTACCAGATAACTGCAGCAACAGCACCCAGGCAGACAAGAGATCCCACCAGCACTTTCCTGGAAATCATATCTTCTAGAGGAGAAGGAAGGGTGACTTCTGAATTCCAGTGGTTTCACTCTGCAAAGAAGAAATACAAAGGAGAGAGGGCTGTAAGTACCTCACTGTGAGAGAAACAGATCATTTCCTCAGAGGAGGAGGAAGTTTCTCGGTAGTTTCACTTTTTCTGAAGAGATAAACACAGAAGGTGCTAGGCTGTAATAGCCAGGGGGCACTGATGTAAAATGTCTGAGCAAGGTCTCCATTTCAGGGAGCTTTAACCTGGCTCTAGTGCATGTGTGTAGCCACTCTGATTTGATTCCACTTTCTGTAGATTCCATTTTTTCATCTCAAGCATACACCCTTTGCAATTTAATGAAATCACCCAGCCCAGTCCTATCAGAGAGCTAACACAGCTATCACCTGGGCTGATAAACTCCACCTTTCACAGTCCTGTAACCACCAGAGACACTCCCTGCAAAGGTGCAGGTAGGAAAGGTAAACCGAGGTGCGAGACCAGCAAAGAAATGTTTCACAGTCCTAATGTATGTTGGGTAAAGATTAAGCCAAAGAAATTATTTCCTCTACAACAGCCATGAAAAATCATCTTTCCTGGGCCCAGCAGTCTTACCTTGAATGCTCAGATCAATCCTTTCTTCTGTTCACAGGGAACCTGCCCTAAATCAGGACAGGTGCTCACAGGGAAGCAAAAGTGCCCACAGTGTGAACTTTGGTCCCTGTGACGAACACAAAATGCATTTGCATGGGGCCTCCAAAGGTGTTACAAGCACATTAATTGTTATTTCTTTCGTTATTTCCTTCAGTGAGGACAGAAGCAGGGAGCTGTGGATCAGGCTCACGTGTTTTTATTTCACTTCTGCTATCTCAGGACCCAACCCTCCCGATCTGGACAGACAGGAGTGATTTTCCTGCTTTAATTTCTTTGACTGGAAAAAGACAAGTGGCAAAAAGTTCCTTAATTTGCTTTACTGTGTCACATAGAAATCCTCTCTGGTGCTTCTCCCTCACTTTCCTTTGAGACAATCTAATTAGCTTTCACCAGGAAGCATCACAGAATACTACTTAAAATAATGACTAATTATATATATACACATATATATGTATCTCTGTGTGTGCATCTATATAAATATATATGTCTTAAGGCCTTCCACTACTTAAAGCTTTCATGGATTCATGCTGAGCAGCTCTGGATTCTTGCCTAAAAATGCTGCAGATCCACAAACACAGAAAGATGTACAAACAGCCTTCCCCCTCTAGCAGTTACTCTGTGTTTTGACCAGTTTTATCTCATTCCTGTGCTAGTTGTGTCATGAGAGCTGCTATGCTGACGCCAGGATTTGTCAGTGCCACGTTTCTTACCTTGTGCTTGATGCTTCCAGCACATGCAAAGCAGACAAATGAGCAGAGGAGGGTTCAAACAGTTGTTTTTCAGCCATTCTGTGAGAGATGGCTGCAGTAGGAAAGCCCTTCTCATCAGCAGGCTTCCAAATTTCCAACCAGGATCTCACTTGCTGTAGTTCAGGTCTGGGCAGTCTCCCTTTCCATACCTGAAGGCTCTGATGTTTCCTTCCCTCTTCTCTTCTGTGACATCCTTCAATCTTTCCTTGTAATTTTCTAACTTTAAGATCTGGGATTGTTTCTGTCAGCTCTGACTGGACTCTGTCTAATCAGCCCATTCTCGTGAAACTGGTGTCAAAGCAACCCAAGTTCTCCTGCTGAGCCCTCAGAAGAATGAAGCAAAGCTGGATTGCCCCCCAAAACTGAAAAGCTGTCACAGTTCATGCATTCCCACAGGACATTTGCCTGCTTTGCAAGGACACAGCACTGGGATGACATTCAGCCTGTGACCAAATGCAATCCATGTGTTTTCTATGGAACCTCTCCCAGCCAGGTCTGAGGCTTATAAAACCTTGTACTTCACTTCATGAAAACAATTTTCAGGCTATTTGTTTTTCTAAAACATCAAGCCCTGACTGAACCCTGTTTTCCCTGGGGCTTGCAGCCCCTCCCAGCTGGATGCCACTTTCCAGTTGCATAAATATCCTCCCAACATTTCCAGCCAAAGCATAAAGGAACACACAAACAGTCCCACTTTGCAGAGCCTCCTGGGGATTCCCATTTTCTGCACCAGACCCATGCTCTTATCTCCATAGCATACAGAGATAGCACAGAATTTGGGTGATGAGGAAGGATAGAGGATCCAGAACACAGAGAAGAAAGGGGACTAATAATTATCCTCAATTTAGACAGTAAAATTAACACAGAATAATAATAAAAAAAAATAAAAGTTGTGGGTGTTTGGTTATTTTAGTGCAGTTTCAGCCGTTGTAATGGGCATAGAGTACTTCCATGTGTCTTTTACAGAGTAAACAGCTAATCCCTCAGGAAAACAAATACACATATTTTGAAACATCATTAGGAGCACAGTTAATGCATTCACCCTTATTTTCTGTGGTACAAACCTGCCAGAACACTGGAGCCCACTGAGATTGAAACATCTTTTGCATCTAAAACCATCTGACATTTACCTCAACTAATTTACAGTTACTATGAATACAAACAAAAATTAAATGTATGTGGTTGCAGCTGATGAAAGACTCTCCAACCAAATAGAAATCACAGCTAAAGCATTTTTAATAGTTACTCAGGTTCCTTGAATTTGTTCAGAGAGTTTTTTAGAAAGGATATGGCTGAAAATAGCTGTTACTCCCAAATGAACTTGCTTGACCTCCCAGAACAAAGCACTACTTTATCTTCAAGCCCTGCTTGGAAAGCATTCTGGACAGCTGATAAATACCTCACTTGTAGACCATTCCATGGAAAATATTCTTTGCAGAGCAACTATTTCAGATTTCCAAATGTGTATTTCAGATTTCTACAACTGAAGTGGCAAGCTGTGAGTGCGAGGTCATTCAGAACATGAAGAAAGAGAAGAAGAAGAGCTCCATCTGTGCCTGGGAAGTTTCCTTGCTAGACTCCAGTGTGGAACAGGCTGCCTTTGGCTCCCGTGACACAAATGTGCTCAGTCACACCTGAGGCTTGAACTTAGCACAAATCCACTGCTCGGGCTGCTGGCTCAGATTATCGCTGCACCACGGAGTTACCTGGGCTGTGGCAGGGATCCAGCTGGGAGGCACTGCACAACAATGTGCACAACCTGCACAGCACAGCCTGCATCTCCCTCACAGCACAACCTGCACAGCACAACCTGCACAGCACAGCCTGCATCTCCCTCACAGCACAACCTGCACAGCACAGCCTGCATCTCCCTCACA